AGAATGGAAGAAAAAGTATCCAATGTACTCAGCCCTACTATGAAACTAATTTATAGCTTTCATAGGAAAGCTATAACCCAATTTTAGCCCAGGAACATGGGGAGAGGGGAGTGGGAGGGGAAGAGGAGGGAGGGTGGGTGGAGGGAGGGTGATTGGTGGGATCACGCCTATGATGCATCCTATAAGAGCACATGTGAATCTCTCTAATTGTGGAGTGTAAATGTCTTAACACAATAACTAAGAAAAAGACATGAAGCCTATGTTAACCAGTTGGACGAAAGTATTTCAAATTGTATACAGAAACAGTACACTGTACCCCATGATAGTATTAATGTACACTGCTATGATTTAATTTAAAAAAAAATGGAAAAAAAAGTACCGAATGAGCATTTTTCAAAACTATAAAAGCTCATTCATAAGCTCAGAGAACCTTAAGTAAGAGAAATGCAAACAAAACCACAGCGAGGGAAATCGTAGTAAAACAATTGAAAACCAACCTCAGAGAAAATCTCAAAAGCAGGCTCAGAGCCTGTGGCTCAAGCGGCTAAGGCACCAGCCACATACACCTGAGCTGGCAGGTTTAAATCCAACTGGATCCGCCAAACAACAATGACAGCTGCAACCAAAATATAACCGGGCGTTGTGGTGGGTGCCTGTAGTCCCAGCTACTTGGGAGGCAGAGGCAGGAAAATTGCTTAATTCTCAGGAGTTGGAGGTTGCTGTGAGCTGTGATGCCACAGCACTCTACCCAGGGGGACAGCTTGAGGCTCTGTCTCAAAAAATAATAATAATAAAATAAAAGCAGCTGGAAGGAAATAAAGACAGACATGTTGCCTTCAAGGGATCAACAGTAAAATGACACTGACTTCCCAACAGAAATGATGAACGCTAGAAGTTAATATAATCACCTCTTTAAAGCGGTGAAAGGAAATAAGAGACAATCTAGAATCCCAGCCCAGTAAAATAGCCTTCAAAAATGATCGCGGAATAAAAGCAATTTGAAGCAAATGAAAACTGAGAGCATTTGTTGCCCTCAGGACTGCATTAAAAGAATAAAAGGGAATTCTTCTGGTAGGAAAAAAAGGGATTCTGGATAGAAATAAAAAATGCAAATAAAAAAATGCAAATATTATTGAATAGTTATTGTGCAAAGCAATAACTGTCTTGTAGAATTTAAAATATATAGAGAACTAACATGCATACTAACAATAACACAAAAAGTGAGGGTTGGCAAATTCAAAGAGTCTCAATTTCTGCCAATATCAAGGAAGCAAAAAGGTAAAGCATTTTACTAGACTGAAATAAGTCAAAAATACTTGTTTTCATCTATAAAAAAATTACAAGCTAAGCTACAACTAACCAGTTCATAGATGGAAAACATGGATCAATAGAAATTATTGTATTAGTAATTACTCCAAAAGAAAACAAGAAAGAAAAAAAATAACAAGTCTGAGTGAAATAGAAAAGCAATAGTAAATTGATATATCTAAGCCACAGCATAGTAATAATTACTAATATAATTAGAAGGTTGTCAGATTGATTAAAAAGGAAATTCAAATTTATTCTTTTCACAAGAGTCATAATTAAAATATAGAAATAGGGCTCAGCGCCTTTAGCTCAGAGACTAGAGCACCAGCTATATACACTGGAGCTGGTGGGTTCAACCAAACAACAATGACAACTACAACCAAAAAATAGCCAGGCGTTGTGGCAGGCACTTGTAGTCCCAGCTGCTTGGGAGGCTGAGGCAAGAGATCGCTTAAGCCCAAGAGTTTGAGGTTGCTGTGAGCTATGACACCACAGTACTCTACCCAGGGCAACATAGTGAGACTCTGTCTCAAAAATAAATAAAACATAGAAACATGAAAAGGCTGGAATTAAAGGATTAAAATACATATATACTATGTAAACACTAATAGTAAAAAGCTGATACAGCTATAATGATACTAGACCAAGAATCCTGTAAGTCAAGAAGCATTACTAGAAATAAAAGAGTCTATTTCACGATAATAAAGGGGCTGACAGAAAACATCACCATAGTAAATCTGTCTGCTCTTAATAGTATCTCTTCAAAATTCATAAATAATTTCAGAACCAAAAGATAGACAATTCTGCTGTCACAGTGGCAGGCTGTGCTACACCTCTGTATACCTGGTAATGACATTAAAAGGCTCCACGGCCAAGTAGCAGGTCTGAGCAATACAATTAATAAACTTGATATAATTGGCTTATTTCAGACAAACACATAGAAACACACCCCTCCTGTCCAAAAATTTAACTACGCTGTTCTATGTAATTCAAAGGTCAAAGATAGGGAAAAAAAAAAAAAAGCTAGAAACTAGAGATTGTATCAATTGAATACATTTGTTAACACACATCAAAACATAGAGGCAAAGCAGAGGGAAATTTATACCCTTGAATGCACATATTTGAATCAATTTCTATCTCAACAAGCTAGAGCAAAATTTAATATAAAGAAAGTAAAAAAAAATAATAAAAGTAGGAATCAATTAAATCCTAAAATTGGTAAAATAAATCAACAGAATCAAAGTTTGTTCTTTGAAAAAAATATATAAAATAATTTGCTGTACTTAAGATCAATCGTGATCAAAAGAGAGAATAGAAAATTACCAATAATAGGAATGGAAAGAATAACAGACCTATAAAGCCGACAGATGCCAAAGTATAAGAGGATTTTATGGTCAAGTTTATTACAAGAAATTTGACGATCTGGAAAAATAGACAAATATGTCACAAATGTAACTTACCAAACCTGACAGAGGACAAAATGGAGAGCCTGGATTGTCCTACGGGTATTACATAAATTGATTCTTAGTGTAAATTAGAACATTCCCCCCAAACAACCCCTATAGTCAGAGGGTTTCCTTGGTGAGTCCTCCTCAACACCCAAGGAAGAAAGAACCATCTTGTGCAAATCCTTTCAAGAAATAGAAAAACGGGAAATATTTCTTCAATATGATGAAGCCAACATAACCTCCATTCCAAAATATAACAAGTATATTGCAAGAATGAAAAAACAACGGCTGGACAGGTACCCAGTTTCAAAGGCTCAGTAATCAAGGGAGTGTCGTCTTGGCACAAGGATAGGATTCGGGTCCATGGAACAGGATCGAGATTTGTGACATTTACAATCAATTGATTTTGGACAAATATGCTAACATAATTCAGTAGGGCAAAAGATAGTCTTTTAAAGAAATGGTTTTGGGAAAATCAATATCCATGTGCAACAACCAAAACCAGAAAGTAAACTTAGACACTTCACTCAGGGTAATGATTGATACGGTCAGATTACATTTTCCATTTTGTTGTTCATTGTCTTCACGCATTCTTTTCTGAGAACTCCTTTATTGATTCTTTTATGTTACGTAAATATTCTTTGTGTACCTTTTAAAATCATCTGGTTGTTGTTGGGGTTTTTTTGGAGACAGAGTCCCACTTTGTTGCCCTTGGTAGGGTGCTGTGGCATCACAGCTCATAGCAACCTCCAGCCCTTGGGCTTAAGGGATTCTCTTGCCTCAGCCGCCCGAGTAGCCAAGACTACAGGCGCCCGCCACAACGCCTGGCTATTTTTCTGTTGCAGTTGTCATTGTTGTTTAGCTGGCCCGGGCTGGGTTTGAACCCGCCAGCCGCAGTGTATGTGGCTGGCGCTGTAACCACTGTACTACAGGCAAGATTCTTTTTTTTTTTTTAGGATTCCTTACTGTTTTCCTTTAGCTGTTCTCTTTGGGTAGGTCTGCTGACAACAGACATTTTTAGTTTTTCTTTGTTTGCACATATCTTGATTTTCCTTTTATTTCTCATGGATATTTTAGCTGATGCATATGGAATTCTGTGTTGATGGCTCTTTTATTTCATCATTTGAAAACGTGCCACTTCATGAGAAATCCACAGCGTACAAATCCTCTTTCCCCTGGAGATTATGCGTTATTCCTCTCTTATCCCTTTCAGGATTTTTTTTTTTTTTGTAGTTTTTGGCCAGGGTTGCGTTTGAACCCGCCACCTCTGGTATATGGGGCCGGCGCCCTACTCCTTTGAGCCACAGGCATCACCCTGGGAGTCTTACTTTTTAGCAGCTTCCTCTGACGTGGCACTGGTGATGCTGGGTCGGGCACCACTGTGTCTGTGCTCGGAGAGAATAGGAGTCAATGGGCTTCTGTGGGCACGGCGGTGGAGGGGTGTGCCTGGCTATTACTGGGCAGGGCTGAATCTACTGGCTCTCCAGGAAACATTTCCTGACACAGCCATGGTTGGGAGTGGGAGCAGCCTATTACTGTCCCCCATGTGGCCTTCATTGCCACCATGTGTGCAGAGGACACATTATCACTTGGTAGTGATTGAAGGCCCAGGTCTTTTTTTTTTTTTTTTTGCAGTTTTTGGCCAGGGCTGGATTTGAACCCACCACCTCCGGCATATGGGGCTAGCACCCTACTCCTTTGAGCCACAGGCGCCACCCAAGGCCCAGGTCTTGACTAGGCCTCCCTGATCACACTTTGCCAGCTGGTAGGCATGGACTTTGTGATACAGGGGTGAGGGTGGAAGTCTGAGCTCTGCACTTGACTTCTGTGGATGAGTTGGAAAGGGCCAGTCTGTGTGCCTGTGTGAGTGCGAGTGGGGTCTGGCTAGAGCGGGGCGGCTGCTGCCTAATTGTTTTCTATCTTTTTAGACTGCCCCTTCCTTGTCTAGAGAGAATAGAGTTTTCTTGGGGCTTTCTTTGTTTCTGTTTATTGGTCTGCTCCCCTTGGTGGTCCCAGGTTGCTAATTTCTCCAGCACTTAATCTGGGATATAGGAGGCAAAAGGAAACCATGGACGTCACCTCAGCACTCCGATATGATCCAGGTCTTGAAATACCGAGGTGCTCTGCCTTCTTCTTTCTACCTTTTTATATTTTTCTTATTTTTAATGTTTAGGATTTTCAGCTCTGCGTAGCTAAAATAGGAAGAGGTGCATCTATTTCTTCTTGTCTAGAACCAGAGGCAATTTTGCCTTCTCTTTGAAAGGTGCATATTGATTCTTCCTCTGCTCACCCACCCAAGCACTTTCTCACCCAAATGCTTTCTAGATTTCGGGTGGGAGACAGGCTGTCTTGTTCTGAGAAAGCCACTGAAGACCAGGCTAGAGGAGCTGTCTTTTCCTTCTCTCTTTTCTTTCTTCTCAAAATGCAGATGCACAAAAATTCATGTTTTTTCCTTTTGATTTTTATTCACTTATTTTATGCACAGCTCAAAGAATTCCACTGAAGCCAAACTCATAAAAACACTCAGATCTTTTAAAAAATACTCCATAGTTTTTTCCCTTTCTCTTCAAAAATATGTTGAGTTGTCCAGCATTTTTTTTTTCTTTGAGACAGAGTCTCACTATGTCGCCCTTGGTAGAGTGCTGTGGTGTCACAGCTCACAGCAACCTCCAACTCTTGGGCTTAAGCGATTCTCTTGCCTCAGCCTCCCATTTTGAAGGTTTCAAAAAACAAACACGTGAGTTGTCCAGCGTGTGACACTTAACAAATAAACAAATAAGCAAATAAAAAATATGCCAGGAAAAATATTCTTTTTCTTTCAGAAAAGAATACCACTCATCATGACTTACCCGATTGGAAAGATCATGGTCATGGTTAAGTTCATGAATGGGGTGAACAATCCATCCACTCACCCAGATGGTCAGAAATGTACTGCTAGCTTCCACCAACCTTCACAAACAGACGTTCCCTGAAGCGGCGTCCAGGGTCTATGATTCTGCCCGTCCCCATGACCTTTCTTGCTACAGGTTGAGTTTCTGATGCTCTCAAGCAAAGGTGTCTTGACCACAACCCATTGGCTGTGGGTTTCTTTCCCTCCTCACCTCTAGGACTTTGCTGTGTTCATGGTTTCTCAATCCTGAATCTTAGCATTGCTGCTCATCTCTGAGTGCCCAAAGCAAACTTTACTGAGGCTCAGGATCACGGATGCACAGCAAGGATAAGGTCATGGATCTTTCTGGAACCCAACTTTGTGGGTCTCAGAGATGAGCTATAAATCAAGGTGGAGAGGGGAGTTAAAGTGGTTTCCTGCTTCATGAGCTGCCCATCTCTTTGGAGGATGGCAGCCTCTGTGGGAGCTTGCCTGTTGGTTTGCAAGGGAAGAAAGAGTGAGCTTTCTGCTTCTGAGGTCCCAGGCATGCTCCTCCTTGTGGAGATGTGCTCCCTCCAAGCTCTTTGAGGGGACTCAGGCTGAAATGGGCCACCTACTTCCAAGTTCTCAGTCACCCATAGGCTGTGGGTGGCTCCCAGGCATCTTTTAAGGACTCCCGTAGGGCTGTGATTGGCTCAGGCACAGTCAACCACCTAAGGGTCACTCTTGGCAACCTGGACCTGCCTGCACAAATGGAAAAGAACACTGGCTCTTATAACAATATAGTATTTAATCATAAAGAAAATAGAAATATCACAAAATACAGTAATGAGACGGCCCAGGGTGAGAGAAACACACTGGCCCCAGAGTCTTTCTCGTATACGTAAGGCTTCCCGGCCAGCCTCGTCTCCTTGCTAATCCAAAGGAGATAATTTGCCACCTTCGTGTACACTCCAGGCAAGTTCTTCTGGCCACAGCCCAGTCCCCAGCTGATAATGCCCACCTGGTACCATATGTCTGTCTTCTTCTTTTTTTGGCAAACCAGAGGCCCCCCACTGTCACCCTAGGAGAGAAAAGTTGTTTGGGAGTGGCAGGGCCAGTGGCAAGTTACTCCTGTAGCCTGCTGAGGCGTGGGCAATTGGCACAAGGCAACAAGCTCTCGTGGGTCTTTTGACGAGCAGACGTTAGTTCTGGGGGCTCTAGGACTGTCAGGAAAAGAAGCAAACGCCCTGGTCAAACTCACTGTGCTGAATGACAGTTTGGTCCCAAAGGACATCTCCATCATCCCCCATCTGATCCCGGGCATCAGTTTTGATGTACCAGTCAACCCCTTTGGCCTCTAAGCCCTTCGTGGTTTTTCAGAACTCCTCCTAATTTCCCCCTGCCGTGTCACCCCACATGCGTTCTCAGCCAGCCCATTTTTCTCTGCCTGTGTTGTTCACAGGAGCCAAAAGTAAAAAACAAAAACAAAAAACCCCCAAATCTATAATCCGTCGTAATAGATCACTGAGCGAATTCAGTAGGTCTCCACGTTGACTCGCGTGCAAAAGTTACAAATGTCGTGTCAGAGTGTTATATTGCAAATGAAGATGTTAAATTTTAAACAACTTGCAGATTTTCCAACATCGTGACAAAGGTTGCCAAGTTAGCGCTAGCCAGTGGAACAGACGTAATTGATGTGAAGATCGGGGAACATGGTAACTTTCGTGCCCCCAAACCTTTTGGACCTTTATAAAAAAAAAAAATCTATTGAGGAGTATAATCAAAAAAAAAAATTGGAAAACTCCAATATGGAAACAGAACATAAAGAATACTCATAACCACATAGATAAGTACGTCTACATTTAAACACACACGTACGTGATTGTGTGTGAAAAATATTCAGGGAAGACGCATCCATGTACGTCTACATTTAAACACACACGTACGTGATTGTGTGTGAAAAATATTCAGGGAAGACGCATCCATATAACGGTGGTTTATCTTTGGCAAGTAAACTGAGAACGAATTAAGAGGGGAATGGCCTCTTGTTTATACAACCATCCCTTCTACTTGTTCTTCCTTTACTGTGTATTCAAAGGAATAAATAAAATCAAGAACACTTCTAATTTCACCCAGGCCAGGCAGCGCCCACTGCCATCTCCACGTGTAGCTCTCTGCATGCTTCTGCGTGAACAGCATACATCATTGTTATTTTACAGAAATAGGATCTGAAGTACAAAGCTTTCTTCTTGAAAATGTTAAGCGACACAAAAACAGCTGGAAAAAAGCACCACCCAATGATGTGTGAAAAATTCAAATACAGGGGCATGCACGGTGGCTCGTGCCTATCATGAGGGAGGGGATCACTTGAGGCCAGGAGTTTGAGACCAACCTGGACGACATAGTGAAACTCTGACTCTACAAAAAAGAAGAAAAGTAGCTGGGTGCCGGATGTGGTAGCACATGCCTGTGGTCCTAGCTGTTAGCTAGCTGGGAGGCTGAGGCAGGAGGACTGCTTGAGCCCAGGAGTTCGAGACCAATCTGGACAATATAGTGAGACCCCATCCCTGAACAATTTTTTTAATCAGCTGGGCATCGTGGCATGTGCCTGTAATCTCAGCTCCTTGGGAAACTGAGACAGGAGGATTGCTTGAGCCCAGGAGTTTGAGATTGCAGTGAGCTGTGATGCTACCACCACACTCCAGCCAGACCTTGTCTCTAAACGAAACAAAACAAAACAAAAAAAACAGGATATAGGATATGGGATTATTTGTTTTTGTTTTTTAACCAGATGGTCATATTGTCATTGTGAAAGATGCCACGTAGAACAACAGTACAGTTAGGACCTTATATTTCTGGAGCCAAACAGACCTTGACTCAAACCCCAGTGTGAATACTTAGCTGAGTGAATTTGAGCAGTTTCTTAGGTGGTTTAAGACCCAGTTGTGATGCGAGCGAGAACAATCCTCCCTCTCCTGCAGCAGCTGCACGCACGGACTGAGGCAGTCCCGGCCCTGGCCCATGGCAGCGTTTACCCAATAGAAGCTCCTCTGTCTTTGTGGTTGTTGGAGCAGGTGCATCTGGACGTGGCTGAACTAAGTTTCTGCTGGAGCCCAAAAGGCAGTGCTAATCCCGGAGGTCAGCAGCCTTTGTTAGAATTCTGGGTCTGTGATTTCTCCTACTGGTGTGTCCCCAGCAAGCCTTTCAGTCTCTCTGACCCTCAGTTTCCCCACCTGAAATAGGCCTGTCTCGTCAAGCTAATTCCTATACTGTGGTGTATTTGTGGAGGCAGCGTGTACGCTATTGGGGATCGGACAGTTACGAGAGACAGTGAGGAGGAAAACCATGTATTTAACATCTCCTGTTCCCTTACTCAGGGCGTTGTGTGCGTTAACTCAATCTCACAACAGCCCCAAAAGGTAGGAACTCTGAGTATTCCCGTTTTAAAGATGAGATCTGAAAAGGCCAGGTGTGCGGGACATCTGCCCCAGTCAGTAAGTAGACAAGAAGCTGAGCAACGAGGAGGGAAACTGAGTCATCAGAGCCTGCACCCCCAACCACTGCTCCTCACTGGCCCCCTCTGGCTGGGGAGCATCTGTTCTCGTGAGATCTTACAGGGCACCTGCACTGGGTTCAGTAGCACCCTCCCCAAATTCATGTCTACCCAGAGCCTCCCAGTGACCCGATTTGGAAATAGGGTCTTTGTATATGTAATAACATAAATTAAGATGAAGTTATGCTGGATTGCAGTGAACCCTAATCCACGGACTGGTGTCCCTATAAGAAAACAGAGGTGGCCCCCACATAGGGGAGACTGAGGCAGAGGCTTCTATCAGCCAAGGAACACCACCCATTGCTGGTGACCACCAGTAGCTAGGAGAGGCCAGGAAGGGGCCCCAGAGCCTTCAGAGGAAGTGTGGCCACACAGAGACCTTATCAGACTTTCAGCCTCTGGAACTTTGAGAAAGTCATTTTGGTTGTGGCCATTTGTTGCGACTGCCACCGCATCCTCACATGGCATCACACCCAGAGAGGAGGAGGGGCTGAGGGTCCTGGCGTGTTGGCCGCCCCGTTACCTGGCAGGCGTCCTTCCCGCCTCGCTTGTGCCCAGCACACAGCATGTTCCTGGTGATCAGGGGCATGGTGTTGGAGCACTTATGCTGCTGCATCAGCTTGATGCTGACTTTCTGAAGGGTTGGAGACAAACTTGCATCTGAGGAGAAGCAGATGGAGAGAAAGCCCTGAGGGGTCCCTCTGGGTTGAGGCCCAGTACCCGCCATGTCATGTCTTTTTACCTCAGTGACCAGGGAACTTCCCTGTAGCCCAGAGAGCAATCCAAACTGAGACAAGGGAGGACCCTGGCTCAGTCCCAGCCAGAGAGCACCAACTTCCCACCCTGCAGAAGCCAACAGGCTCCAGCTCGGATTCTGGACAGGTGTTTTGTTCATATCCGTAAGACTATTAGGCAAACCCAAGATGGCAAGTTACGTTATGGGGCCCATGCAGCTAAAGATGGGCTCAAATCGTATCAGGGCCCTCCAGGTGTTCACGGCCTCTGGAGGAGGAGAACCCGATGCCCAGAATGTTCCCTTCCCACAGACAGGGGTGTTTCCTTCTTTGCATCACTGAGTCCCCAGTCCCTGAAACGTGGAAGAGGCTGACGACTGTGTGTGGGAACTGAGACGTGGGGACGGTAACCCAGGAAGGCGGCCTTTCCTCGAAGTTCACAAAACACTTCTGAGGGTGATTTCCAGCAAGCTCTGAGCTTTGGGATCGCACTGGAGTAAGAGCATAGCCATCTGGGTGCCTACTGGGGAGAGCAGCGCTGACTACAATGTGTTCTTTCTGCTGATAACTGGGCAAGGACAAAGACAGAAGGGCCACCTTAGTGGTCTGGCTGAGAAGAGGCAGGGGAGTGCGTTATAGGCTAAGGACACAGGGAAAATTCAGTAAAGATATTCCGGTTATCTCATCGCCTGGGTCTGGATCTATGGTTTTCAAATATTTTAACCGCAGAGGACTTTGTCACAGGAGAGCAAAGCTCACGCCACTGATTGAGCCGGGGGTTGCTCTGGCCAATATTGACCGGTGGGAACTTCCTGAAGCCCAGGTCACACGCTGTCCTTTTGCCCACCAATATGTCCCCCAAAATTCCAAGTCAGTCCTGGGTTCTGGAAACTTCCACTTGGGTTATCCCTGAGGCCATTTTAAGGGTTGCGCTCCACAATATGGGCACATGAGGAGCCCAGGAAGGATGGCGCCCACGTGAGCTGCAGATAAGGCCACGATGAGGCCTCCCCGAGAACAAGGAGTCCTGGATACACAGGGCTGACTTGCCAAGGCCAGCAGGGCCTTCAGAGTTTGCTCCCAGATCCCAGCATCCTCCAGGGGCCCGCCCGCCCCAGGCTGCCTGGCCTGTGCCAACTCACTGGTAACGCTGGTAAAGCCCCATCCGGTCACCCAGCAGTTGGTCCATTTACAGAGGTCAGTGACCTCTGAAACGCAGATGGGTGAATTCTTGACACCCAGGGGTAATGGGGATTGGAGCAAGAGCAAAGCTATGTCATTGTCCAAGAGCCAGCTGTCAAAATAAGGGTGAGTGATTAGCTTGTCCACTCTCACTGCTGTGGAGTTCGTGATACTGACGTTGCTTACGCTGTGTGTGATCACCAGGTTATAACTTTTAAAATGAAAGAAGAAGAAACAAGGTCAGTGGTGGAAGGAGAAGAGGTGATTCTTAAGAGAAAATAATTCTACTACCCTGAGGCTGTGACCTAAGGAGTGAGGGCTGGAGGCACCTGCCAGGGTGGGGAGGCACAGAGCTGAGAAGAGGCCCCCCTGGGCCAGGAGCTGGCTCTGCATCTAGTCCTGCCCCACTGCTGACTAGTTCTTGGCTGGATGGTTTCTTACTTGGGCAAACTAGCTCACACACTTCATCCACAAATTAACTGAAGAACTTGACCTTGACCTGCAAGAAAGCTGCACCGATCAAGCCCCTGGAAAGCTTCTTTAAAATACTGATTTGTGGGCACAGATTGGGAGCCTCTGATATGCAGTGAGGCCCAGAGCCCTGTCCTCAGGTCCTAATTCCTTCCAAAACTCTCTGAGCCTATGGTCACAGTCAGCCAGCTGTCTCTCTAAGGGAGAGCAGGGAAGCACTTTCCAGAGGCTTAGACCAGAACCACATGTGCTTAGCCAGATGCAAAGACGTTCAGGGGACATTTGCTCTGATTTGGGACACACTCAAGCTCATGTAGAACATCGTAGAAGGACAGCTGCCCCTCGCCCCCTACAAAGATTTCAGCCACATAGACCTGTATTTAGCCACCTGACATTTCACCTCCTATGGCTAACAAACCCCAGGAAAATAATTAGCACCTAGGGGCAACTATTCTGCCACATTGGTTTAAAAAATTCTGTGTGCAGTACTTACTCAGTTATTCTGTAGAAGCAGTGGGCTGCAGTTAGAACCCACCACTTACTGAGCACAGATCCTCCGCAGAGGTGCCTGCGATTGTGCAGAATTCTCACCTGCCATGGAAATTCTCTAATGTCGGCAGCTTCCCCACCCAGGATTCCAGAACTGTCTCGATTTCTGGGTTTCACACTTACTCTTTGGCCACATGATGCTAAAGAAAGAAAGGAGGGAGATAGAGAAAGGAGCCAGCGCCCGACAGTCAAGGTGGTTGGTTTAGAAGAAGCTGAGACTCAAGTTCTCCTCACCTCGGACGCACACAGACAGCAGGGGCTTGGCCAGGTTAAAACCAGGTGGGCAAGGCAGCCAATCAATGTGATCCCAGAACGCCTGCCAAGGGCACCGCATGGAGAAGGTGTGACTATGGGGAGGAGGTGCAGTTGCCTTCATCAAAGCTTAGGTCAGGGGTCCTCAAACTTTTTAAACAGGGGGCCAGTTTACTGTCCCTCAGACCAGGCCCTGGGATGAGTCGGCTGCTAAGCAGGACAGGCAGCGGTGGCAAAAACACCCAGCGGGCCAGATAAATGTCCTAGGCAGGCTGCATGTAGCCCGTGGGCTGTAGTTTGAGGACACCTGGCCTTGGCTTCTCGGAAGGGCTGTCCCTGTGGGAGCCTTAGAGGGGAAAGACTCACAACACAAGCTCTGGGGCCAGGTCTTGCTGTTGCACCCACAGAAGCCAAGGCGAATTTCAAAGTCACTTATTTGAAATTGCGCCTCACTGTCCTCTGAAAAACAGGGCCTTGGTTGGGGTCTTAGCATGATTCAGAGGTGAGCCACTGACAGGCTGGGAAGCTGAGTCTTACAAAGGGACATCACACAAGGGAAGAAAATGGGGACAGGCCTTCAGACACCTGCAGGATTTCCTTCAAGATGAGGGGTAAGGCTTTTCCAGAGCCATCTCAGTGTGCAAGCTGCCGGTGATCAGGAAGAATCTTCTATGACAATTCTGCCCTATTGCCACATTCCACTTGGTTGGGAATTACACAAAACTGGAGCTGATGTGGACAATCTGAGCTCTGTGCATGTGAAATTTAGGGGAGTCCCTGGGAGCGGAAGGAATGTGTGTGTGCATTATGTCAGCCTTGACATTGGGGATTTGGAGCCTCCGAGATCTTTGGTTTTCTAACCCATAAAATGAGGGGACTTGATAAAATCATCTTTAAGGTCCTTTCCAGTTCTTCTCGGACTCTTTTGCTGAATTCTCATCCTCTTCCGAAACCTAAGGGTCAATCCCCAGGCCACTTCCCTCCAGCTACTGGAACTTGTCCTAGCTGTGGCTTCAAATATCCCCTTTATACAGATGATTCTCACGCTCATGCCTCTCAGACCCTTCCGCTAAGGTCCCCTCATTTAGCCTGAGGGGCTTCTTAGGAATGCAGCTGCCTGAATCTGCCCACCTGGAAACTGATTTTTGGAACAAGCTCTCCAGGTGATTCTCCTGTCCCTAGGCAGGGAGGGCCCTGTGAGATATGTGGACAAGGACCCACAGAGACCTACGTTTCTGGAAGCCATATGCCCAGGGCAGCAGCAGGGCCACCTGTAGCAGGAGCACTGCTCCCCGGTCCCTACACCTTCTCATCATTCCCGCTCTGCACGTCACCAGAGGCTTCCCGTGAGGCTCAGGGACTCAGAGTGGAGCTACGCAGTCCACGCCTGCTAGCTCATAGCTGGCCTGACCACTGAGGTCACAATAGGGCCCTGGGTGGAGCTGCCACACTCCAAACAAAGAGCCAGGTGGCCTTCTGAGCCCCCTGGAATGTGGGAGGAGTGGAAGTGAGAGGCCTGGAGTGTCCACATCACAATTCATGATAGGACAAGGTAGCTGAAGGTGTCTCGGGAGTAGACTTAAGGAGAAGGGATCTGAGGCTGATGACACGAACAGGTCAGGGTACACAGCAGAGAGCACCAACTTGGGCTCCTACAGAAGAGAGTTCCTGACACCCATGGGACCTCAGAGGAATCACTTAACTTTGACCCTCCAATTACTCCTCTGCTACCAGCCGATTCTCCATGGGGGGAATCTGGGCGGGCACTTACCTGACTGGGCCTCAGTTGACGGGGAAGTAGAATAGGGCTCAGATCAGCTTTTCGCTCCATTAAAAGATGCTCCACCCACCCCCACCGGCGCTGCCTCAGTTGTGTGCCAGGAGCCCTGTTTCAGATCCTGTGGTTCTGTCTGAAACTGGCCCCAAAGCTCTCCCAGGGAAAAGAGCAGGTGAGTGTGGCTCCCCGGTGTCCCCAGTGAGGACTCAGGTGGGGTCAGTGAAGAGAATGACAGGGACTGACCAGGCAGGGAGAGGTGAGGAGGGCCGCAGCGCTGCCTGGCACTACCCCCTCTGCCCACAGGTCCTGGCCACCTCGGGCAGACAGAGTCCCCCATGTGCTGCGGCTCTCAGAGCAGGGACTCTGCAGAATGTCCCGGCCAGCAGGGATTATCTGGGGTCTGCACTCTGAACTCCAGGCTGGGGCACCTGGGGAGTGAGGGCCAAAAAGGATGTGGCCTGAGGGCCTGTCTGTGTCACCGGTCTCTGTGTCCTAGTTTACAGCCCGGTGGCATCTACTGCCGGGGAGAGGCACGTGTAAACAAATCAGGGAGGACAGCAGAGCTATTTGGGGCAGGAGACGGATCAGGAAATAGACATGGCTCCCTGTGGACTTCAGCTGCCCCTCTTCCCTCTCAGATTTCAGCTGTGCCCTAATTATTCCCAGCGCTAGGCCAGTTGGATCGTGGCCTGTGATGCAGCAGGGATCCAGCTCCAGACTTAGCGATTCCATGTGGTCAGGTGTGCAAGGTGGGGCCTGGACCCCCACCCCACAAGGGAACTGCCTGTGTGCTCATGGCCATTGGCCTCTCCAAGTCCTGGCATCTTCATGTTCAGGATTCCCCCTCCGCTCCTTCTGCCTTACTTTCTCCCAAGCCCTGGCCTGGTTTTCTAAATGCCCGTCCAGCCCTCTCGGGCACAAGTGAGGAGGTGGATGGCTCTGAAACCAACAGGCATTGGGTGATGAGGATGATGGCCCCAAAGCATTCCAGAAGGAAACAGGACTCCTCTGTGAACATTCAAATGCAGGCACTTTAATAAAAAGTCGTGGGCATTGTAAAGGGACTCAACCAAGGAGAATAATGAGTCCAGAGACGAGCGACAGCAGTAAGCCACGGGGACAAGGACAGAAAATATTGCTGCTGGAGCCAGTGAGGACTGCGGGAGTGGAAGGAGGGCCACCAATGAGCCCTGAGTCAAGAAGGGCCCGGCCACCAGCAGCACAAAGGCTGAATGGGAAAGGGACAGGTTGGAATATCCTGACCCTCCCGCCTCCTGCCATGGTGCCTTGTTGGTTCTTGCTGAGGGAAAGCCAAGGGCTATTTGGGGTCTCAGTGGACGCAGTACCTAAGAACCAGCCCACCCAGACCCAGAGGAGGACAGAGCGTTCTCCCAAAGTGGGGAGAGGAGGGCAGATGGAAAATAAAGGCTGGTGCCATCTTACATTTCCTCACAGGGAACGGAGTTGACAGTTGTGACTCATTCTGATTTTAGGGCTGCTACAGACAGCAGGCTCCCCTTACTCCCTCCACAGTACACTGTGCCAGGACTTTGTCTTATCTCACTCGATCCTACAACACCATGTGAAGGTGTCTTCGTTGATAGGTCTGTATGCCAGGTATTACATGTTGAGATTAAGCACTGTCCCTGCCTTCTAAACACTCCCAGGTATTGCAGAAGCTGAAATCTTGAAAGCCGTGCTTCTCAGAATCCCAGGCGGCTTCCGATTGAGATTCTCAGACAAGTTTCGGGGGACAGAGGGAAGGGAGAAGTCATGATTTTATCCCATCAGGTGTGCTCAGGCCCACAGCTCTCAGCAGATGGGAGTCACGGCGTTCTGCCACTCACGTTGGGTCTACCTCTGAAAATCTCACTCTGGTACTGGGGACGATAATGAGCTTGTGAGTAGTGGGTTCCTGTGATTCCTGAAGTTGTGTGCCAGGAGCCCTGGTTTGGACCCCATGGGTCCATCTGAAACTGACTCCAAAGCTCTCCCAAGGAAAAGAGCAGGTGAGTGCGGTGACTGTTTTGCTCTGCTGACCTTTGCACTCAAGCCCTTCACCCCTCTCCGCAGCACCATTGTTGTGTATTAATCCACTCTCTGCTTGACATGCACAGAGCGTTTTCCATTCCCTGACAGCATTCTGACCAATACAATATTTGGTACTGAAAATGCTTCCAGGAAATACAACTGCAAAGATGGAAATCTAAGATACGTTGTGAGGCCTGATTTGATTTGAAGGTTATAATGACCTCATCACTAGCAGAAAATGGGATTCTGGTAGCCCGTGGCATCCGATGTCAAAATAGTTACTTGAGTTATTACCTGTCATTCTTGGAATCATTTGCCTATTAGAAAGAGACCGAGTGGTTGTTGCAATAGGATTTCCTGGGCTATAATTACTAAACGCAATGGGAAGTTTACAGAAAAATAAACAAAAACACCCAGAATGACCACAAAAACAAAAAACAAAAAACTCAGGGCTTTCAATTTTCAACTCAAAGGCGTCATCCAAAAGCCAGAGAAGTTTCTACAACTGCCCCTAGAAGAATCTCCTTCAACTGTATTGAAAACAAGACCCATGGCTGTTTCTGCAGGTGGCAGAATTATAACAATTGAATTTATAGCCTCTTTAGATGCTTACACGAAAGGCTGTTAATCAGGAAAGAAGATGATCAAGAGAATGGAAGTGGGACATTTGGGTGGATTAAGGTGAATCCACCTAATTCAACGTAAGGTTAAATCCCACTGAACTTCCCTTCCTATCAGAATTCGCTTCTACCTCACTGCAGTCAGTAGTCATCTCAATGGACCGGATGGGGGATCGGTTCACTTCCGACCTGAGAGAAGACAGTATACCCTGAACATTCTGCATACTAATGGGTGTTTGCAGACACCTGAGAATGGATTCTAAGGGAGTTAGGTGAAGGATTAAGTAAAATGTGGGCTACATTTATCAACTTAGGTCATTGGTTCTCAACCTGTGGGTCGCTGTATTAAAGGGTCGCAGTATTAGGAAGGTTGAGAACCACTGATCTAGGTGCACTTATGAGAAATTCTGGATTCGGTTTAGCTGGAGCAGCTAGAAGTGGTTCTCCTTGTTTGGCGGAAGTTTCAGAAAAGAATGGCCTACTTTGAATGGAATTCCTTTGTAGAATGTAAAAAAGGACTCCAAAGTCTTAGATAGAAATGTCAGAATGGATTTATTAAGTGTGACCTGCTTACGTAGCCTCTAAATCTAGTTCTTCTGAGGGTCCTGAGGACACTGTGTTAAATTAGGCATTTGAAAATGCATTTCCAAAGAGAACACTGGCATCTCTGCAAAGCCCTGCCAAGGCCGTCTTCCCTAGATGGGGAACCACATAGCACGCAACCCACGTGAGGGAAACTGACTTCGGTTGACCCCTTCCCTCTTGGGGCAGACAGTAGTTCCTCCTCATTCTCTATATGGACGTGACTTCTCGGCCCACAGTGCCTTTGCTACCCACCACAGGGAACTCACGAAATGCCTGGTTGTTCACCACGATGGTTTCCCACATGGCATCACTCTGACCCCCTGGTTATAATGTGACAGAAGTGAAGCACCGAGTCCCATGGCCTTCCCCCACCTGGAGCAGCCTGTCTGATGGAACAGTGGGGTGGCCCAGTGAAGACCACCAAGCCTGTGGTGCTCTAATGGCTTGTGAAGTTGGGGAGCCCTCTTCCCAAGGGCAGTGTCTGTTAACAGTAATTGAGCGGAAGGTACTGATTCTTGCATAGCCAGAAAACAGAGGTTTGGGAATTCAAGGATAAAGATGGGATTGGCTCCATGTACTGTTTTACCTAATCCCTCTCTTTCTCACTTGTGTATACTGTATACGTATGATGACACCATAATGAAATAAAACCATATATGTATTTTACGTATTTATATATGTATTAACAAAATGAAACTCTCTCTAGACACATGTTTATTCATTTGGCCCTTCACATCTGTGGGCTTTGCATTCATACCATGTTTCCCCGAAAATAAGACACTGTCTTATATTTATTTTTTCTCAAGAAGACACACTAGGGCTTATTTTCAGGGGATGTCTTATTTTTATTAAGTATAATACAACAATCTACATTTATTCAAATACAGTTAAGTCATCTTCTGGAACCTGACAGGAGGAGCTGACCTTGTTGGTGGGGCTGGTGGTGGTGATGCGTGGACTCCTTTCCCCTAGCTGTTCACATGTGCGCAATAGGATGCCTGCGACCGCAGTTACCACACGTGCACTAGGCAAGTGGGAACGGCTGGGAGAAAGGAGCTGTGGTAGATAAAAGGCATTCCAGTCTTCCTTACTGCTCTGCACAGAAATGCAGAGCGTGGCTATGCAGATACTAAGTCGTAATCTCCCACTTTCACATCCAAACTGGACAAAAGACTCTGATCCTGATCATCCCATTGGCTTTCTGTCCTGAGTGGCCCAGGAGACTGAAGCATTTGTACCTCACATGGGGAGCTCCCTGTGTTTGGGTCTCAGAATGAAACATGTATACCCCCTAAATATT